AAGAGACACAACTTGAAAAGCAAAGTATTCCAGTGGCTCTCTCTCTCTCTCTATTCATCCCAGGAGGAACCAGAGGCTTCTCCAGACAAAGCCAGGAACAGCTGGCTGATCGATACCCGACAAAAGCTCAGAGGTTAGAGCAGTCAAAAGATTGTTAACTAGCCATTTTATTTGCCAGACATTTATATCATTGTTTATGGTTCAGTGCACCCCTTCAGTACTGGCCATGCTGCACACCTGTGCTTGGAACACTTTCAGGGCCTCTTCACCCACTTTTCATGACCTCATGGGCAGAGGAAAAAAAAATAAGGCCATGTCTCTGAATCCCAAAAGATGCTGAGATAGATAGAGAGAGGGACAGAGATATAGAGAGATATATAGAGACAGAGAGACAGATAAAGAGACAGATACAGAGAGTAATAGAGATAGATATGGGGACACTGACAGAGATAGGGAGATACATATATTTATAAAGACAGAGATAGAGATATAGAGATAAAAGGGAGATAAAGAGATTTTGAGATAGAGATAAAAAAAAGATATAGATGTACAGAAAGAGATAGAGATGAGAGCGATAGAGCAATAGAAAAAGGTTTTACAGGAAGCATGTATGTGTTTTTGCCACATGCAGATGAACTAATATTAGTGGAGGACGGGATGGACCTGCTTGTATATATGTAGACGTGCACATTCCTGCATATACATGCATGTGTTTACGTTTGTGTGAGCTCAAGTGTTGTTGTTGGTGTTACCAGTGCATCCCAGCCGGTAACACATGGCTCTGCTGCCACCACTCTGGCTCGTGTTGTGAGTGTCCCTGCAGGCTGGCAGAGAAGGGGAGACTCTCTGTGCGGCTCACCCAGGCGGAGAGGGGCTTCCTGCGCATCTTTTGTCTCACCATTTGGGCCCTTGTGTCTGTGGCTGCCCCTGCTCCTGCTCCGGACCCACTTGGCAGCTCACCGCGCAGACGGACATCTGCTCTCTTCCAACCTCCTGGTGAATAGAGAAAACAACAAGCAACAGACCCTGCTCTGCACACTTTAGTCTATACAGTTACAGTGTCTGCTGAGACAGTTGCTATCTCTATCCATCTATCTATCTATCTATCTATCTATCTATCTATCTATCTATCTATCTATTTATCTCATACAGTTAAACAGTATTGGTTGGGACATTATTTACTGCATAAAGTTATATAGTCCATCTATTTATTGCTCAGAGTAACATAGTCTCTGAGACCATTTTTTTCTATCTATCGTATATTTTCATAGCATCTGTTGGGACAATTATATCTACCTGCAAATCCTTCTATCCATCCATCGCATACAGTTTCATAGCCCCTGCTGGGTCAATTTCAATTTATCTATCTATTTATCTACGTATGCATCTATCTATAGCATAGTTTCATAGCATCTGTTGGGACACTTCAGGATAAACTGCAATAATACATTATTGCTGTAAATCATTACCAGCATTTTAATAATACACCCTGTGTATTTTTTTAAAAACGGCTAAAATATATATATATGAGTGTGCAGCCTAAACCACATCCTAGTCTTTTAATTGCTGAGGAAAAGCCACAAGTGATTTCCTTCATCTCACGGTCTTCCTCCAGAAATAACCTATGAAGAGGAGAAGGCCCTCTCACACTAAATCGAGTGGCTTTGTAAACCTCCACATTAAAAAAAAAAAGTATAGTTCTCTCTGCATCTCATGGCCTGACTCCTTTCTCCCCCGGTCTCCTGTGTGAGCGCAGTGATTCTGCAGCACGCAATATTGAGCACACTTTGTTCGTGCTCAGCGGCCCAGAATAACTCGGTCATTATGGTGGCGAAAGGGACAGGTTTTGAGTTTGATTTCATGATGGTAATATAGCCCATGTGCGTAGGAGAAGAAAGCCTTCAATGGGGACATCTGTTCGGTGCGGCTTACAGTTACAGCCGCCCGATAAGAACAACCTGTGCACATGCTCCATATGAACTCGCACCGACCCTCTCTCTCTCTGTGTATGGTGTGTGTGTGTGTGTGTGTNTATGAACTCGCACCGACCCTCTCTCTCTCTGTGTGTGGTGTGTGTGTGTGTGTGTGTGTGTGTGTGTGTGTGTGTGTGTGTGTGTGTGTGTGTGTGTGTGGCTGCTGAGCGCAACAGGCCACAAAGGAAGGTCTTTTTTTTATTATTAAAGAAAAGTGGTGCCCTAGGAATAAATAAGATTATCAGATTTTTGAAAGTGATGTGGATTAAATATCTCTTGTAGCTGTGAGGCTTCAGCAGCAGGGGTGGGGTGGTGGTGGTGGTGGTGGGTTATCGCACTGACCTCTGACATCAGTTTTGCTGGTATATGATCACTTGGTAATTTGTCACCAGAGGCCAACATGTCCCCTGTAGCTGCAGCACATATACACTGATGATATCCAAATGTCCTCCCACCCTCCTTCCAAAAAAAAAAAGAAAAAAGAAAATCATAATATAGAATGAACAGGAAGGAAGAGGACATAAGGGAAACCAGTTTTACCACAATTACAATCTGGTGTTCTGCTGAAATATAAGCTTTAAATTCTGTTTGAATAAATAATGTGAGCGTCTTTATAGGAGTTTATTGTGGAAACAGGAGGTTGGTGGATTATTCCCAAACTTAATCCCAACAGGGCTGAGAGTGTAACATCACTGTGGTCCTGAGTGAGAGCGGCTGCATGGAGATGTGTTTTTATTCTGCTGAGAGCAAACGTCGAGGGTCAGTCAGTGCACTGCGGAGCGGAGCAGCACGATAGGTAGGTTTGTTTTTATTCTCACTGTGTCACGTTTCATTCTCTGCGACATGATGTTGTGCTTTTCCATGTTGTGCGACTGATCAGTTTTGGGGGGAAATAAAATAATTAACGAGAGACGAACGGATCGATACAGCGTCAATCAGACATGTGGACATGTGTGTGTGTGTGTGTGTGCGTGTGTGTGTGTGAGAGAGAGAGAGGGTGTGTGTGTGTGTTTTCATGTTATCTTAAATCTGCTCCTGCTCTTTTAGGCTACATGCATTAATGGCTCATTGTGATTTTCTATTTTTTCCTTAAATAATTGCACTTGATGAGTTAGAGAGCAGAATCATTTAAAAATAAATAGGATCATTGAATTATCCGTTTAATTGCTGCATGCGGGCAAATTGCTAAAATCGTCTCATCATTTCTAAATATAAATACCACATGTGCTATAAGAGTAATAATTAATATAACTGCATGTAAAATGTGCACGATTTCGTCCTTTCACTCCTCCTGCAGCTGAAGGCAATGCAGCGCAAATTAATCCAAAAAAAGCTGTTGTCCAATCCTAGAAACACAAGAATTAATCAGATAGTCCATCGATCACGCTGTGTAATAAAGGAAGCGACACGGGTTAGGCAGATGATGTGATGAATAATCCCTGGTCGTTTTAATTAACTTTTCCCTGTCCTGTAATGACCACGCTGGTCAACAGACCCGGTCAATAAGCATGTTAATATCAAACAAATAAAAGTGCGGATGATTAAAAAACCTCCTGCGTTATTAAATTTGAAATTCAAATGAAATTTATGCGTCCAGTGCACACTGCATGCTAATAGCGCGCACACACACACACGCACACACACACTCAAACGCAGAGACAGTCCCAGGGTTCAACGCTGCTTTTTACGCACAACTTCTTATTATGTAACAGCAGCTTCCTCTATGGATTTAACAAATGTCAGCGGGCAAAGTGATGAACCTATTCAATATAACCAGCTTATCATTTCATTTTCAGCCTGACACACTCCACTCTAATAAATAGTCACAGTTAATGTGCCCCTCCAACATTATCTATATTGCCAATAAGACCTAAAAGAAATCTACATTTTTGAATTTTTGAATTTTTACAAGGCAGATTTTTTTCCCCCCTAAGGCCAATATACCCCACACACACTAACTCTTCATCTTCCTCATCCTCTTCTGCCTCATGACAAACACAGCGCGTAATAAAAACGAATCCTCCTCCTGCGGAATGCACCATCTACAAGTTTTTAATCAAAACTGTCAAGATAATTGAACACAATTACAGTCATGTGAAAGTTAGTGCACGGGGTAATATGGGCCCGCGACCAGAACAATGCAGCCTTTATATGCTGTGTAATAGTTTGTGTATATTAACTCTTTAAGGAGTTTTTAAAAGAAAATGCAGCGGGGTAACTTGTGCCTGCAGTCGCAGAATATAGTTTCAAATAGGACCAAGATGAAAGAAAAAGTGGAAATAAGATAATTAAGATATTGTAAAATAAAACTTCTGAGCTGATTTTAAAAATAAATGTGGAATAGGTGAAAGTCCACATAAACTTTACTCTCCTTTTACCGTGGAGAAGAGTTCAAATAAAAACACTCTTCTTGTTGAGAATAATTTAAGAGATCTAAAAAGAATGCCAAAAAATAAATACTTTGAAGTGAGTTTAGCTTTTTGTTGGTGCCTGTTTGTATTTATTTAATTATTACTGTTATGTACTATCCCCCTGTAGACACAGGATCATCACCCTCCTCCTCCTCCTCCTCCCTCTTGTCTCTAAATTTATGGAATGTGATGTTCTGTTAAAAAAAAAAAAAAAAAAAAATTTCAATAAGTGGCCCCTTAATTCCTCCTTCCTAATTCACTCTCATTTAACTCTACCTTCCTTCCGCTGTCTTATATGATGGAGGGGGCGGTGGGTGGGTGTGGAGCTGATGTCTGAGGCGCTCTGCTGATGACCTCACGGTGAGTGTGCGGCGGCGGTGCGGGGACAGAGCCGCTGATTGGTCGCCCGTGTCACAGCGCCACTTCAAAGCCGGAGAGGAGCCTACAATTGTGGAAGAATGGGCGGAACGCGTCATTGTATTGCACACCTCTAAAAAAAAAAAAAAAAAAAGAAGAAAAAAAAAAACCCAGCGCTGTGATTCATAAATATAAAAAGATCCTCTGAGGAGGGCAGTGGTTTTTTTGTGGGATGGCAACTTCACTTCTAGGGGTGAGTTCTAAAAAGGACTTTTCTTGCGGGTTTAATTAGTTCTTGTCATTGTCCGGCGGAGGGGGGATTAAACTTGCAGAAAGCAGCCTGCTGCAGCGAAGCCAGTGCGTCGGTTGTTTTATTCCCTGCAAGCGCTTCGTGTACGAGACAGAGAGCCGAGGCTGCGTAGATGCGATAAGAAGTTCACGCCGGTGCAGAAAAACACGCATGTTGTCCTTGGTGTCTTGTCTGGCGTGCGTTTGTAGGCGCTGTGTGTCGCGTTTGTCTGCTTTCTGTTCGTCCAGGTAGGAAGTGTTCACGATCTTATGATTTCTAGACTTTGTGAGGAGAAAGATTGTTGAGTCCTCCGCGCATTCCCGCTTCGAGCGTCTCTTCGGAGGTGAAATGCTGCGTTTCAGTGTCTGTGATGAACCCGTTAAACTTGTTGGACTGACCCTGTCACTTACAGCTTTTCTTGTCCCTTCCAGGAGGAGCCGAGGTTAGGATCGACTCCTTTAGCCATGTTAGCTGCAACATGCAACAAAATAGGGAGTCCGAGCCCTTCGCCGTCGGCTATTTCGGATAACTCCTCGTCCTTTGGAAAAGGCTTCCACCCGTGGAAAAGAGCCGCCGCGAGCAGCTGCAGCCTCGGGTCCGGCCTGTCCGGTTTCGGGGTGTCCCGCAACGGAGCCGGCATCTCGGACTCTTTTGCCCCCAACAGCTCCAGTGGATCCAGCGCTTTTTCCCTCACGTCAGGCACCTCGTCCAGTTCCCACTTTGGAAACGATTACTCTGTTTTCCAAGCGTCCGTCTCCAGCAGCTCCCAGGAGTCCAGCCACCAGCCGGTCTTCATCTCCAAGGTGCACACCGACAGTTTGCAGGGCATCTATCCGAGGATGAGCGTCGCGCATCCCTACGATTCCTGGTTCAAATCGTCCCATCCCGGTATCCCCACCGGTGACGTCGGGACCACCGGAGCCTCTGCTTGGTGGGACGTGGGAGCGGGATGGATTGATGTTCAAAACCCTAATGGAGCAGCACTACAGACGTCCTTACATTCCGGTGGACTCCAGACTTCCTTGCACTCTCCCCTGGGCGGATATAATTCTGATTATTCCACTTTAAGTCACTCTGCTTTCAGTACAAGTCCCTCTCCACACCTGTTGACAACCGGCCAGCACCTGATGGACGGCTACAAGCCGGTGTTATCCTCTTATCCGGACACAAGCCCCTCTCCATTAGCCGGGGCAGGGGGGACTATGCTCTCCGGGGGTCCACCTGCATCTTTAGCGGGGTCACCGAGGTCATCTGCCCGCCGGTATTCGGGCAGAGCCACCTGCGACTGTCCAAACTGCCAGGAGGCGGAGAGACTAGGACCGGCGGGCGCCAGCCTCCGGAGAAAGGGCCTCCACAGCTGTCACATCCCCGGCTGTGGGAAGGTTTACGGGAAAACGTCGCACCTCAAGGCGCATTTGAGGTGGCACACCGGCGAGAGGCCGTTTGTGTGCAACTGGCTCTTTTGCGGGAAGAGGTTTACGCGCTCCGACGAGCTCCAGCGACACTTACGCACACACACCGGGGAGAAGAGATTCGCTTGCCCGGTGTGCAACAAGAGATTTATGCGTAGCGATCACCTGAGTAAACATGTAAAAACTCACAGCGCCGGGGGATCCGCCGGTTCTGGCTCCGGGGGCAGCGGAGGGAAGAGGGGGAGCGATACCGACAGCGAGCACAGCGCGCCGGGAAGCCCACCGTGCCATTCCCCCGACCTGTTGCACCCACCTGAGTCCACCCAGGGAGTGGGCATGAACGGCCTCTAAAAACTCCCCTCAGCGAAGTCAGAAACTGTGAAACAGCAAAGTGGTCGCGGTGGACTCGTCCCTGAGGACATGAGAGTGGACATACTTTGGTGTATGCGCAAAGCTTCACCCTGGGTGTTGTCATTTAATGAGAAAATAGGCCTATGCGTTTCTTTGACTGTTTTTCCAAGTGTTTAAGACTATACTAACTGCATTATTTCATAGCTGTTGCCACCAGAAACTTCCCATTAATACATCTGCGGTGTGAAAGTGTAATCAAGTAACTGTGGGCACACTGGGACAGGGAGACACAACTCAAACTCCCCTGCAGCCTGATCCTCACTCTGCACTGTTTGGTTTATGTGAGACACAAAATATTAGAAAACACTGCTGTGAAAAATTTAGGGCCTGCAAAGTTGTGTAACTGCTGTCATTCATATTGTTCAAAAAACAAACTCTGGCACTTTATTATCTGGCAGTGAGAATTCGTTTTTTTTGTCCCCTGTGGACGGACTGCTCGGTTGGAACAAATACCTGTGGAGTGTGGTAGGATATGGGACAGGGGTGGTTTTCATTATGTGCGTCTGATCCCATAATGGAGGAGCAGTTGTAGGTTCATAAGGTTGTCATATATTGCTGTTCACTCCACAGCCTATACAGTGTGCTCTCTAAATTTGTAAGTAGGCCAGTCGAGGTTAAACTTACACTTCTCTTCAAACGTGTTGTATAGAATGAGACATGTAGGTTAGAATAATTACAGCCCGATGTAAAGGTGAGTAATGTATTTGTCCAGGAGACGATTTTGTATAGGTATTTCTAGTTGTATATGGACTCTAGTAAATATTTGAAAATATACGGAATATGTACTTGGATTTTTCTTTGACATGATATGAAAATGTATTTGTGGGGAGTTATATTTAACCACGAGTTTTCTTGTATTTAGGGGTCTATCATTAGGCGCACTTTGAATTTATTTGTAAGGTTTTGAAATCATTTACTGTTTACCCACTCATTTTAATTTAAGTAAGCATGTTGTAAAGTGACTTTAATTTTACAATGATATTTTTTTCCTCCTCCGAGAATGGCTTTTTATGGAAGCCACTCAATAAAGTCAGTATGAATTCAGAAGCAGTTGATCGACTCACTTTATTTGATTGTTGAGTCGATAACATCTTTTTTCCCACTGGCAGACCAGAAACTTTTAAAATCAGAGTTTGCTAACCAACAGTTTATTATCTTATCTTCTTAGACATTTATTTTCTGCTTTAAAATTGAAATATTAGAGATGTTGAGTTTTTTTTTTTTAAATCTCCGTGTTCAGCTGCTGGTTTTTACAGGTTCTTCAGGCCGAGGAGGAAAAGGGCCTCCAGCAACAGGAAGGCCTCAGCTAGAAATACATGTAAATTGGTTTAATCAAGATATTAAGGAAAAATACAATCAAGCAATTTAATGGAGAACCTGTTTTAAAAAACAAGGGAAGGAAATCATCTGTTGCACAATTTAAATTAAGGGTTAAATCACATTATTCTTTCGTTATGTATTTTCTTCAATTGAGCGTGAAAATAAAACTTACATTTCTCTGAGGCCACAAACACGCAAACTAAACTACACGTCGAACTGTGTTAAACCGCTGTTTCATTAATCCCCAATGACGGTGTGGTAGGATAAATATCACTATAATTAACAAGTGCAAAGGTGAATAGCCGAGATTCATATTTTTATTTTTGCTCTTTATTTAATTCTTAATCATCATTATTCTACAAAATAACAAAACCACACACTTTTTGTAATCAAATCCTCACTCACCGGACATTCTCCTGAATCATACTCGAGTTTCGTTTATTTGAAATTGTGCTGTCAAAAAATGCGTAGCAGGATTAACACTAGACCACTATTGACACGAGTCTGTTAATAATTAAAAAGTATAAAAACAATTAGGGACAGACTTTGTGTAACTTGAGGAATACTGTTCCCCTTCAGGCTGCGCATCATTTGACCTGAGCAAAAGTTCGTGGAAATCACTTTCTCATTACTGGCATCAAAACTGAGGCCGCGAGCATTTACACACTGGGCTGCAACACATATCAAGTGTTTAATCAATTGATTCAAATAATAATTAAAATAGTATTTTTTTTCTTTATTATATGCGTTTTGATATAACCAACAGAGTTCGGCCTTTTTTCTTTTGTGCGAGCGATTTAGTTTTTCTGTCATTTACAATAGAAATCAAAATATTGCAACCCGGATAAAAGTTTGTCCGATCTAAGTTATTACCTCCTTATCTCTGCTGTTTTTGACTCATCAGATTTGCGCGTGCAGTGATACGGTGCCGTGCGTCCTGAAGCGCCACTGATGGATCGTTTTAACTGCGTTAGAAGAAAAATATAGATACAATAATTTCTCTATCTACTTGTGTTTTAACATGTTAGGGATATTTGGTGTTTTTTGTTTCATGAGCTCACAGTGAGAAGTGAACTAAAACCACTATCTTTCCAACTTTTTGAGTCTGCTTTTTACGCACGGCTTTGTAGCGCCATCTAGCGCTTGCAGTAAAACCAACTGCAATTTCAAACCCTGCTTTGAAATCCACTTGTCCTGAGGAACTTGTGCTTTGAGAATCTGGTAATATTATGTGTCACTTAAAAAGTTTCAGTGAATTATTTCAGGGAACCTCTCAGTGCTGCAGCACCAAATAATTTTCATAATTCTAAATGTGTATTAATAAAGAGTGCCTGGTTCACCCGTATAGGCATCATAAGGAGACAAAGTGCAGCAGGTCTGACTTAAATGTGTTGGTCAGAGATGATGGACCATCTGTAAACAGAGGCGCATACAAACTTCTATATGTAGCCTAATATGCTTTAACTCAGATTCAATTCAAATAAGAAATTGAATGCATACAGGTGTCACTCATCCTCATTTAGCGGTGCAGATATTAGATAATCTCTGCGTCCATCACTATTGTCTACAACAGTTTTGTTGGAATTACTGAAAAAATCCCCATGATGACAAAATAATCCCTTTAATTGCATCCTCTTAATGCACTACAGTTCCACCTTCGTACATGTTCTTGCGATGACCCATGGAGTTAGACAGAAAATGCTGCACGAAAAGTTTGAAGTGAAATTCAGCCTAATTCAGAAGGTATATAAAGTAAAAAAAAAGTGTTTGACTAAAGTAATTCCACATTTGCTTTCTCTGAAATTAAGGATTGTGTTAAAGAGACCCTTATGTAGATACTTCAGCACAGTCGATGGCAGTATATAATATTCACAAAAATTTAATTTAATACAAAGATATCAAACTCAAATGTTTTGTCTGTTGCCTTGAACTTACAGGCTTGATGTTGTCTTTGCTCTGACTGTCACAAGATAGTCATAATTCATCGCAGTAAATATACTCAGACGAATAGGACTGAGGGCAAAACATAACTATACAGTCAAGTGTTCTCTTTATCTCATAACGTGTGATAAATAATTGTTGTTAATTTCACAATGGTTTATTTAAGCATTTAAAGAAAGCATCTTCAAATTCCAGGAAAGAGTCACTCAGTATTTTGTATCTATATGATCTGCTATTAAAATGTGTGATGAGATCTAGGATTAGATTTAGGCCCTGAACATGTGAGAGAAACACTTGTCTTACAAAAAGAAAAAGGAACCAAAAACTTGAGTCTTGAACATTTCAGCAATCTGAACAGATTACTAATATAATCAAATATTAACCATTAAATATAGAGTTAATGTGTCAGACTGCATGGCTCTTTGTTGTCATGTCATTAGTACCTTGCCTCACTGCTGCAACATCACATGGTCCATGAGGAATGTCCCGCCGCTGCCCTCATTTGAATCAAACAGGCCCCGGAGAGGAAGAGCATGGACGCCAGGATGAGGAGGACGAGCTGCCAACTGTGGATGAAGGCCACAGAAACAGCCACGGTCGGAGCACGATGATCCAGCTGTCCCGCAGTCATCTAGAAAATAATAAGACAAATATTAGTATTCTCTGCTGGATAATAGAAGTTTAGATGCATCTGTGGTTTTGAGGTGGTATTCTGCTGAATAGCAGATATGAAGAGAGGTATTGGATTTTCTTGCTCTAACAGCAAATCACAGTGTTGTGGTCACACGTTGCAATGATGCATCTGTGGTCAATTTTGTGGTTAATACCCTGACCGCACTGTCATTGTCATCAAACCAGCCAATCTCCGGTGAACGGCAATTTGACATGGTTCACAGTTTAGTCAAAATAATTAACAGTAATTGGTGTAACACTGACAGTGGTGCCCTCACACAATGCGTCCAGCAATTTCAATTCGTTTATGTCACAGGCTGAGTTTCACCTGTCTGAGTGGAATACGCACAGATTCAGGCTCAATGTAGAAAAAGCTCTGTGGTTTTGCAGGAATTGCAACCTCAGTTTAATGACTTCATTACATCAATGTCCACAAAATCAATACGTTGAAGTCCACAGCAGAATCAAAATGAACACTTTTGCTGCCTGAAAACAAACATCTGCAATGAAAGGGAGGGAAATACATGTACTTTACCTCCTGTGGGATCAATGTAAATCTAATTCCTCAAGAATAAACCAGGATTTGAGATCAAAAGACGAGATCACATTCAACGCAGCCATGGTTTTCCCAAAAGTTTATCTAAAGAAGACAACAGGAAGTGACAAACACAGGAAGTGACAAACATGTCCGCCCATGATGAAAATTCAAGTCAGCAGGTGAGGCCGAGCTGATGAGGGTGATGGGAGCTTTCACTGATTCTTTTGCCTCAACACTTCAGGTCTTGAGCTTCTCTTTCACCATGACCCCGACAGATGCAATACTACAATATATACTGGAAGATCTGTAACATCAAATATTACGATTACAGCAACAATTAGCTGATTAATCAATTCCTAAACAGACATATTTGGAGACTGTTTTGATATTTGATTAATCAAATTCAAGTTAATTGACAAGCAAGATGTCAAAGAGTGGATGCTTCAAGCTTTTCAAATATGAAGATTTTCTGCTTTCCCTTGTCTTACAAGAGTGGGAATTACACATCTATTCTTTTTGGATTTTATCTGCAGACACAAAAAGACACTTTAAGGAACCATGTTTGAGAAACTGTGATCGACTTTCTTCACCATTGTCTATTCTGGATTCAACGATAGATTGACTAATAATGAAACAATACTTAGAATTAGATTGTTTGCTCATCAAAAAGCTTCTTAGCAGCTAAGTACAAGCTTATCTTCATCAGTGATGAAGTTTTACTCAGCAGCTCCAGTTTGGTCTATGTGCAACAGTTCTGCAGCTCTGCTCTCTTGTTGGATTGGTGAAAAATGCAACCTCAACCCACTCTCTGGAGGAAGAATGCAACACACTGATTCAAGGGTAGAGGAACGGCGCCACCAAGTGGTGTCAAATATAAACTGCAGCCACCATTAGTAACTTTGAACCTGAAATTCTATTTACTTGTAAAAATGTATGTATCTACAGTGCATAGAGATTTGCATAGAGTTTGTCAGATTACATCTCTATCAAAACCTCCAAAATCACACTCACTTGAGTCAAAGGGTTTTCACACAACAGCTGTAAATTGAAGATTTAAACTGAATGGGAAATGGAAGCACTGGTGAGGGAAAGACTGGCTGATACAAGACACATCCATAATTTGTACTGATATAAATTAGTGTAAGTAAAAGTAAAAGGCCTGTTTCTAATGTGTGAATGTTGTTGCAGAGAGAAAAGACTTATAGAAAATAGTGATAAAATAAGGGCCAATGGCGAATAAATGAGAATATTAAAAAAAATAAAAGAAATAGTGACAGCCTCATTCAGATGATCTGATTTGTGCAGCTTTGAAATATTGCAAACATGTTAAGCTATTTAAATCTTCTTATCTTTTCACAGGCAACATGACAGTGGGGTGACAGCACAATTTCAAACAACATTCTTTTTCAACCACATAATTGGTTCAGAACAAAGTTTACACTGACAAAAGGCCTTTTTCACAGCAGATAGTCTGGCATGCCATACATACTATGAAAAGCACAGGTATTATCAATAATGTGTGACACTGGGAGCCTTGAACTGAAGCAGGAATTAAGCCAATGTTCATTTTATTATGTGCATCTGTGGTTTTCCTGCTCCAACATAAATGTATTAAAAAAAACAACTTATCGCATTAACACATTAAAGTGCCATTATTTAACATTTTTCTGAACAAACAAACTGAGGTCTTGATACTTTCTGACTTATTCTACTGTTGTCAAACAAGTTGTCTACTAAAAGTCAAGTAGTTTTAAGCAAACATTTCTCAGACTGTTTTTAGGGCACAGATGAATAAGCTTTATCAAGCTTTAGATCCACAGCCGACACTTTATTGTACAAACAAGTTCATTGTTAGTTGTGACCATTTCATTGGATTTGTAAGAAAAATGGTGACTGCTGACAACATTCTCAAAAGCTGCCACAAGAGAGCAGAATATGCTCACTGATGTCTTTTGATACTGGTTATCAGACACTGAGATAATTCTTAACTGGCAGACTATGTGAGGTATGCAGGGTTTGTCCATTTCAAATTTACAAAGTAAACATCACCTTCTGCCTTCATGCACAGCACGGGACAATATGCAAGTGTGATTAGGAAATCCAGCTACAAGTAAATATAATTTTAATATAATGGGATATCATGTTAAATCATATAGTCTACAAAGAACCTTCACTTTTGCAGTCATGTTAATAAGTCATGCTAAAGTCCATGCTGCTGCAGCCACTGACCATATTTGTTACATGAAAATTCATAATCTACTCAGAGGTGCTTAGTGACATTCCTTAAGAGCAACTGCCTTTTGAATACCAAGACTTACATTCAAGAAACACGAGAACTCTGAAAGAGGGTTTCTGCAGGTTTCAACAAGTTCAATTAAAGACTTTAAGATGTTTTTAAGACCATAGTAATTAATGTTAAGAGCCATGTCAAGTACGGCAAATATGAAGAATGTCCCATCATTGTACACTCGCTCATTATATCTCACAAAACTACAAGCAAAAACAGTATGTAATGGTGTCTTTCTCACAGCCAAAGTGAGATAAATTCTAACCAGGATGTTTGTGGTTATCAGTTCCGTGTTCTAAGTTATCAGGACACACACACACACACACACACACACACACACACACACACACACACGTTTAACCATAAAAGACTTTCAAGGCGTAAAATTTAGATTATTGAATTTTAGACGTTTTAAGAGCCTGTGAAAATCCTTTGAAAGGACATTTCAGTAAGACTGATAGTAAACTTCTGGTTATAACTTTTCACACACTATTGTGCTATAGGGTTAAGCTTTCAGTAGTCAAAATAGTGGTTTCCTGTTGTGCATTTTTTCCACAAGGATCAAATATGACGCTAACAGGCTCAGTTAGTGATCTATTCAGGCTCTCATCTCAGCAGATGTGTACACAACCTGTTCAGTGAGATAGTCACTCGTCCTTGACCAGATTAACATGTCAACCTCTCTGTTCCTGTTGGCTTTGATCTACACAGGAAAAACAGCAGCAGTGATAACGGCAAACAGTGAAATCAATAAATACCCAACAAACACCATTATAACCAAGTATCAGAGGGACTAGCATGACTTCTAGGCTTCGTGTTGTTTTATCTGTCTCAATAATACACCACAACAATTTATTCGTAATTAGCAAATCGTTAGCTAACACAACCACAACCTCCCAGAGTTGTGTCGTCTCAAATAACTTCAGCTTAATGTTGGATCTGTATGTTAAATGCTAACTGTGTAAATCACCCTCGCTTCTCGTGGACGTCCTCTTTGACTTTGCAGCTAGCAGTAGCAGCTAACAACTAGCAGCACGCTCATCGGCCCCTGTCGAAACCGGCATGCAGTATCACTCAGTTCGAGGTGCGGCTAAATCACCTGCGCAAACAAAGCGGTTGCATTGTGGGAGTTGTAGTCTGCCCAGCCAGAGAGGCCACTCCTCCTGAAGGGGCTTCCTGAGTCGAGTAAAACTCCCAGTCCCGAGATTCTCCGTGTCGGAGAGCAAACAGAGTAACCTGAGGAGGTGAAGCTCGTAGATACTCGGTAGAAAAAAGAGTCAATGACAGAGGACTGGTTTCTTCTCCTGTCAACGCGCCTGAGGAAAACTACAAACATCTCATGCCGACGGTGAGATCACACTTTGCTTCCTTTCGTCTCGTTTTGAATGTGTTTTTAACTCTTATAAATAGAAAGTACGCTAAGAAGTTGTACTTTATTAATATGTAAGTACGCAGTGTATAAACATACACCTGTAGCTAACGTTTGTGGAGATATTAAAGTCTAAATCTGTGCTGCTGATAATCTGGATTATTATTATAATATGTAATAATAGCACATTGTTTCCATAACTCTTATAAACAGGGTCACAGAATGCTTTACAAAGTTCAGGAGAATGAAACAACACAGACCAAAACAAAGATAATAAAGATGACATAAAAGAACAAACATCTTCCACTACAACCAGTTAAAAAGACAGACATTAAAAAGACTTTTCTATGTGCAGTGATTTAAAACAGGTAACGTCCAATCTCCCCATGCATGGATCTCCAAAGCAACAAATGAATGTAAGCTTTGCTTCAGAATATTTACTTCTGATTCAATTAAAACCATGAAACCTGTTTGTGCAGCACCACAGGAGATACAGTAGGCGTACGAAGGACAGACATCTCCCCTGTCAGTAGTACAGTAGCCACTTTGATAGTAGCAAGCAACGCTGGGAGAGCTACACTGTGTCATAGGCCTGACAAGACCAACCTGTTTTTGTGCACTGGTGTAAGAGACCACATTATTAATGACTGACTCACTGTGACAAGTCATGAATGGGTTGTGTCCTTTTACGCAAACAAGTGACAGGCTGAAGAGTTCAGGCTTTATTCTGCAGTTGGAACAGTTTTCTGTGAAACACACACACAGAGGAGACCTGCAGAAACCCTGAGGCTCAACTATGCTGAAGGAAATGTAGCTGAGACAGAACAATAACTTTGCTCGCTAGTCTCATTGCTGTGCAGGGAGCTGTTGTGACATGTGTCACAGCATTTCAAAATATATGGCTGCTTACAGATGTTTCTGGGCTTCAGGGAACTATGACTGTGGTCAATTCATGTAACAATTATTTAAAAGTAGAAAATGTAGAAATGCCATCAGTTGCCAGGAGTCCCATTTGACATATTCTGATTTGTTATTAATATACTTATATAAGATTAATATCTATCTATCCAAGAACATATTGTGGATCAATGTTGATTAAGTAAATTGTCGACAAATTGTTTAATCTCTTTATGAGTTATTATAATAAGTATGAAATATCTTTATTCAGGATATTATGTATTCGTTTTATTCTACTTCAGGACTCTTGGTAAGATTGATAAAGGAATAATGTAATATAAGGAATAAAGTAGAGCTGGGCGATATGGCCAAAAATGCTAACAAGATCATGTCAGATAATAATTATCACTTTATCAAGTATCAAATATTATTTATTTTACATTACAATTCTTAAAGAGTGACTCTGGAATGGAGGTTGTGATTTGATAAGCAGCAAAACATTTTACAAATCTGAAGTTGATCAATTATCTTCAATACCTCCTAACTTTTCTTGCATAAGCTTTATATATATATATATATATATATATATATTACACCTATGTTATGTTGGGATTGATGAAAGGTATATATCGCAATAATTATTCTCATTGTTTTATTGCCCAGTCTTAGAATTATAATAATGTTTAGATTAGTAAAAGCTGCTAGTAAAAGGCAAAATACAGATAAATTAAAACTACATTGTTTTAATGTTTACAGATGAAAATATGGCATCTGGAAGAGTAACGTCCTTCCGTCGTGCCGGTAGTCTTATGCGGAGTAAATCTGAGGGGACACTGATTGACCTGGGTGACAATACATCAACAAGCAACAACCTGAATGGTAAATCCCTCTGAACCTCAAGCTGGTTTTGCTCTAAATGTGAAATCCCAGTATATTTGTACTGTTAACAGAACCAAACAATTTTTTTCACAGGTGGGCATGTGACACGAATCCCACAGAACTCTGAGTGGCCACTTCTTCAGCCAGAAGTTGCTCAACCATCTCAGACAAACAATCCCTTCTGGAACAAACTGTCTGGATCAAACCCGTTCTTAGATGACATTTTGCACAGCAGCACAGACAAACACATTTTCAACACATCAGATGTAAAACAAGACAACGAAAAACATCAGGACACAAATATCGATGATGCCATCAGCACGTCGTCCGATGAAGGCAACGTGGGAAACTTTTTGCAAAACAAACACAAAGTCACCAATAGATCAGGGAGATGGAGGAGTGCTTCAGACATCCTGGATGATCTGGAGAGAAAAGTGCCAAAACGGGAGGACAGCTTCAAACCGCCCACGCCAGTGCTGAACCCAGACTTTGAGTGGCTGAAAAATGACAGAGAGGCGTATAAGATGGCCTGGCTGAGCCACAGGCAGCTTACCCGCTCGTGCCTGGACTTAAATCTGATGAGCCAGAGCCCCGGATGGGCTCAGACCCAGGCCACTGGTTTTCAGGTTATTTGCAGGATCGGCCACGCTGGAGGCACGGTACAATTACCAGACTCAGATGTTAGCATGCATATCCCAGAGGGCCACGTTCCTCCTGGAGAAGTACAGGAAGTTACGTTGAAAGCAATGCTAGACCCTCCTCCTGGACTCAATAACAACTACATGACAACCATGAGTCTGCTTTTGGAGGTAGTTCTCACGAACATTAACACAAAGACGTGTATGTCTCTGGAGGTGAAACTGTCCGGAGAGGTGAAGAGTGACTCGTTAAGTCAAGTGATGACCACCGTGGTCGGGCTGTTGTCCAACAAAAGAGAGGGGCCCTATGTAAAAGTGGACGATTGTTACATTTACAAGAACGTGATGCAGATGAAGCTCCAGAACCTGAAGACACATTTTTATGTGATTGCAGTCGCAGAGGCCTCTGCAATTCAGTCGCCCGCTACATCCGTGTGGGATTACCTTGACCGGCATATCACTGTAGCAGTTTATGGTCCCAGGTACATTCATCCATCATTCAAAGTAGTAATAGTGGTTTGCTGTCATGAGAACGTTCCACCAAAGCTTCCATTTTCAGATATATGTCGAGGCAACAAAAACCTGCCTCCGCTTGTGCTGCAGCTGTGGGGAAAACATCGGTTTAAACCCGACAAAGTGAACGACCTGCGTGTCAGAGTCAACATCAAAGGCTCAGCATTTAAAATCAAACCTGAGGACAAATTGAAAGAAGTGAGACAGAGTCAGCTCAAAATAGGGTCGGTTTTGAATCTGCCTGTTGCATTATCTTGTGCCGGTAATTCAGAAATGACTCCCTTTGAATTAGATCTACAAGTGAAGGAATCAAACACTGTGACTGTTGCACATTTCCAGGTGCCCTCCCCTCCCGCACCACCCATCCGATTAGAAAAGCGGGGGTCGAGGCAGCTGGAAAGGCGACCCGAAATAGCGAGAACAGTATCCATCCCAGAGGAGAGAGTTCCAGATCTCCCCAAATTTGAAAACAAACCTGTGAATCTGCAGTGGTACGGTGTTGCCCTAAAGTCAGTCCTCCGTCAGCCACGTGTGGACTACTTACTGGAGTACTTCAAGGGCGACACCATGGCTCTTCTCTCCAGAGATACCGTCAGGTCAGTTGGTAACTCGAAAGTAAAAGAGTGGTATATTGGATTTCTGCGCGGTAGGACCGGTTTGATTCACTGCAAGAACGTCAAGATCATAACCAGAGACCAGGTGATTGACTTCACCGGCATCAAGGTCACCACAGAGGTGCTCCTGGACAACATGTCGTTGCCCTTCAAGAAGCTCACTTACATGTACTCTGCCATCCAGACGCTAGTCACTGAGCACATCACCAGCTGGAGGGGTTTAGCTGATGCTTTAGGGTACAGCAACCTGTCGCTGGACACCATCACACGAAGACACGCTGAAACCGAGGAGGATAAGGTGGCGTGTGTTCTGGAGAAGCTAAAGGAAGATTGTCACGCAGAGAAGAGCAGGAAGTTTTTGCATGAACTAATGGTGGTGAGTAGAGAAAATCATGTGTTTTAAATTCTGAGAAATACAAATAAAAGAAGAACTAGTGTAGTGCTTGTTCGAAACCCGCTTCTTTGGAATGGGCTGTTTGCTTGGCCAGTTTTCTTTCTGAAGGTGTGATCTACAGTTATTGAGCCACTCATGCTACAGCAATTTCACAGCTCATATGTTCTGATTGTGTTTTCCATGCATTTTTATGAGCATTCCTGCGTTTTTCATCCTAGGGCCTGCTCAAGATGGACTCTGTGAAGCTGGTGGCTCAGCTCATTCAGAACACTGTCATCCTGTCCACTGCTGTGGAGCTCGGGGTCCGGTGGCGGGAGCTCGCAGAGAAGATGGGGAAACTCTCCAGTGCTCAGATCGCCGGCTACGAATCACCACATCGAGGGAAGAGTGGAGACGTCGGCCCCCAGGTGAGCGTACTGTATACATTGAATGTGATCTACGTGTTACTGTACACATCAATTAACTATGTCCTGCTCTGTTGCAGTCAATGTGGAAGCCTGCCTATGACTTTCTGTACTCCTGGAGTCTGCACTATGGAGACAGCTACAGGGACATGATCCAGGATCTGCACCTGCTGCTAGACAAAATGAAAAGCCCCGCCACCAGACAGTGGAGGCAGCTGACTGGTGCCCTCATCACAGCAAACTCTCTGGATCTCTTTCGAGCCTCCGCGTACCCAAAAAGCTAAACCTTCTGCAAATGCACTCTAGTGACGACGTCAACCTCCACGCACTTTGGTAAACAGAGACAGAGGTTTTGTTACGCTGCCGTAAGGATTTAATGAAGATGTTAAAATCTTTCTGTTGTCTGTCATAGCTTTGTGTTCATGTTTGTCTTCAAAGAGCATTAGATACAACTTCATTGAAATTCAGCCAGGTTCTTGCACTAAATCTCCAGACCTCACTCGATGAGTATACACTTGAGCTGTGAAGGAACGTCATTTCATCTTGCAATCTGATGAATATTAAGGCGTTTGTCTACCTTATTGTGCCAATGTAAAAGAGACTAAAAGTAAAATTTCATTTTGGTAGATAGTTTACAGTGTTTGAAAATGCTATCCTTCTTAAACTTATTTCTGCAGTACATCCTGGGTATAAGCTATAGTTTGTCAGTCTCATAACGTTACAGATTGAGCTAGCCCGCCAACCATAAAGCTACTTTGCTTGTCAGTCAGATTGGAGCCTCTTAAAACATTGTGAAATACATTATGAAATTAATTGTTACAGTAACGTTCACCCTAAAATGTTTTGTTCAGAAGTTTGGTTCACCCTCCAGTCAAACTTAACTATTATAGATGCTTGTTTTATGACTGTTAAAATTACAAAAGTAGGGACCCATGAGTTACTTTTTGTGACTGTTACACGTTTGCAACCTTTCTCTCGATATCAGAATTTTTTTCATGCCTCTGTGCTGTCAACAGCTGCTGCTGTTCTCTTCTAATGATACAGTATATCCAAAATGCCTGGAGGGAATTTCATTACATCTGGCACAAACATCCACTTGAACGGTGGTTAAAAATAGTGATGGTTTAAATTTGGAGATCAGACGTTATGGTCACTGTGACCTTACAAAACACGTCTGACCATATATGCCTAAAGTGCTTAAGTGCTTCAGAGTGTTTTGGGGTTGCAGAACTGTCTCTCCATACGTATGTACGTCCACATGTCTGTCCCATTCTCATAAATGAGAAATCTCGGGATTGCCAGGAAGGAAATTTCATTATGTCTGTCACAAAGGTCCACTTTGACTTAAACTGATGAACTGATTCGATTTTGATGGTTAAGGTCACTGTGACCTCACAAAACACGTCACCATTACTGATCTTAAAGTATGAGAGGGAGCTGCAAGCACTAGTTTTCTGCACCACATGTATTCAGAGCCAGAAACCCAATAGACACTGTGAACACTATTACTGACCAACAACCTCATGGGTTTCAATACATTGACTTAAATAAATATTTACTGTAGTTTTGTGTTGAAGGTGACGATATTCTTCCAAAGTGAAACACGCTTTTTAAGTTTCCCTGATGCCAGTAAACAAATTGTAAAGATGGTGATTTACTGTGCATGTGTCAAAAACTATTGTTGTTTTGTTTTAGTGTATTTGTTATTTTTATACGGTTATGTAAAATTATATATATGTAAAAAGCAGA